ATAATTAAGCAAATAAGTATATAATTCACATGATATTCACATAATTCCTCTTTATTACTTCAAAATGAGTTATAAAGGTTGACTTAGACTATTACACCGTTATTAATGGTTTTAGCCCAGAAACACGGGCGTTACATCATATTCACTAATTCTAGTCATACAATATTGTTTTCACAAATCCATATGATTCAAGTAATTAAGATGATGTTCATGCAACTCAATAACTTGATTGTTTATAGAAAATAATTATCATTAACACACAAGAGTCTTTAACAAGCTTATCAAGATAAATTAAACACAAATAAAACAATCAAAATAGCAATTAATCAATAAATCAAGGTTTCATTTAGTCATAAACACAAAGCAAATGGTTTTAACACCCAAATCAGAAAGTAACACATAGTGACATCACAATGGAATACTAAACATGGTCACGTTAACAACCACATGATTACCGACACAAATTCGCTCTCTAATCCCTTCGATATCTGCTTCTGTCAGCTTAACGGTCTATCGACCACCTTCTAGACCCTCAAAATGGCGAAATATAAGTTACTTGTCGACTAAGGATCAATGGTAGTTGAATTCTCCCTTCTGGTTGGCTAAAAATCGTTTTTTTATAAACATTGGAACTGACTTACGTACGCTAAGCGTAAGTAGGTGTACGTGGGGTATACCAAGAGACTTATCGCGATTAGGATACCTACCCAGTACGTTAGGCGTAAGTCTATCTATGCAAGGAGTAGTCTTCAACTCCATAGTATGTTGAACGTAAGCCCCGCTACCCTGGGCATAGTGGGCTGCCTTCAACCATCTTTATCCTTTTTGCCTTTTTAAGCCCAACTTTCGTTTTCCTTTAAATCTTTTCGGCTCTAGCAACATTATTCTTATAAAATATAAATTTAAACGTTATAAGTACTTTTAGTTCTAAATAAGAATAATAAAGGCTAAAATATTAATATATGATATATATATACATATATATATATATATAAACACATATCAGCAAGCAAATGTTAAGTGTGTGATATTTGATATTGTCATATTTATACACATTTTTAGGCAATATTTTAATACATTTTTATTAATATTTTGGTTAGTTGCAAAGATATATGATACTTATGAGATTAAATTATATTTTGCAGCCAAAAGGAACAATCTTGAGGAATAATGACCATTATTGACAAGAAGTGGAGTTTTGGAGGATTGAATAATTAAAAGAAGAAAAATCCCTACGAAAAACCCAAATCACGACGTATCCATCTTTTACACGGCGTGGAGTGAGTGTTCTAGAAGATAAGTGCACGGAAAGTTAGAATCTTTGCCCGATAAGGATTTATCTCAAGTACACAACATAAAATCCCTGTTCACATCGTGAATCATGAAAATTCCCAAAACTATATATACTTATTCACCTTCAAATTTTTAAAAAGGCTTTGGGAGGTTTGGAAGATTTTCAAAGAGATTTCTAGAGAAGAATTGTCCAGAAAAACGAAAATTAAACATTCATTGAAGGAGATTATTTGAAAATTTAGAGATTGAAGATTATATTCATCATTCTAGCTTGGTACACTATGATTATATATTTTATCATTGAATTTGTGTTTGTGTTATCAACAATGAGTATAGATCTAGTAGCTACTGTTAGCTAGATGAAACTTTAACTCTATGGATTAGTTTATTGAATTATGGATCCTAATTGTTGATTATGAGTTTGTGTTTGATTATCTCTACCTAGCATGTTAATATTTGATGCTTAAATGCTTGAAATCAGGTTCTGTGTAGCTTAGTGAATATTAAATTACATGAACATGTTACATAGTAATTTAGTGACCATTAAATTGCTAGAGCAAGGACCTACCCAATCTTAGACAATTAATAAGAATAGCTAATTTAGTTGTGCTGGAAAACATAAATTATGACCATAATTGTGTTTATTTAGATCAATCTTACTATATATATATATATATATATATTCTATATCTGATTATGTGTTAGCTAATATATGATCATACATAGTTTTACATGAATTAGTGAAAACATTAGTAAATTTGGACTTGAATTGCTAATAAAATAATAATTGATAATCCATAATTAGTAGCTAACTATAGAGGAGAAGTGGATTCGAACTAAATGGAAGTGTTTTAGTAATTGATTGAATCATTAATTAAGTAATTAAGTTTGTATGAACTTGCAACATCAGATAAAAACCAATTAAACTTTTGCCTTTTCTTTTAGGTTAATTTTAGTAGTTAAAATAGCTAATTAATCTGCTCCATGTGATCGATACCCGACTGTTTGTGCTATAGTATTTTCAACAAGGTCTACCGCCTTAAGTCGTAATAATTAGTTAGATAGTTGGTAAAACTAATAGGTGTACCAATATTTCAACATCACTTGTACCTGATACGATTTTCCTACTTAATGCGAATGTGTTTCATTAGATCATCTAAGGAGTAGTCATCGGATTTGTTCATCATTCTCTTAGAGAAGTCTTTCCACGAGGGTGGTAGTTTTTTCTATGATCGTACCAACCTAAAAGAGTTCTGGTATCCAGATGGAGAGCTCGTTCGACTTGTTGACCATGGCGTGTAGTTCATGCACTTGCTCCTTGATAGGTTTGTCATCAACCATTTGAAACTCTAGGTACTTGTTGGTACCTTCCTCATATGCCTTATACTTGAGTTCCAAAGCACTCCATAACTCTCTCGGATCTTTGGCCGACGTGTAAAGATCATAGAGCCGATTAGACAGTGAGTTTTAGATGTGACCCACACACAATTCCTTAGACTCTCTACGCAGAGCCCTTTGCTTTTCCATATCAAAGATGATCGTTGGATCCACAATTTTCCCCGCCCCGAGAATTGGATTAGTATGATTTAGGGCCATTTTTGGATCCAAAACATAGGCGAGCTTTAGCACATGAAGCATGAACTTGACCTTGTCAGCCCAACGGGTGTAGTTCTGACCATCAAAATGGTTAAGCTTGTCAAATTCTTGTTTCATGTAGCGGAGACTAGCAATTGAGATTGGAGTGTCCATTAGTCAGTTGAAATATAAACACAAGTAAAAACCTTTAATATTGTTGTAAATCAAACTAATAGACAAGCAAGGAAACCGACAAATAATATTGAGAATTATATTTTGATTAGTTACGAATAATAGATCCATTTATTATTAATATGATTACGAAGTTTCGTCCAGAGATTACTCCTTCTTGATTAGATCCGGTTATAAGAAAGGTAGAATGAGAATGTCCTATATTGGACAAAATTAAAAGCAATACAATAATGTAAAATCGGCATGTTGACGACTGATCTTGATTGTGGAATAACTGCACGGATCAGACTCCTGTCCTTAAAGGTTTTGAATTTGCTTCTATTGGTTGTAAGCAACAGAGTAAAACCCCAAGATTTGATGCAGATCTATCGATTTTCCAACAACACTAGAAATCAATAAACACAAAGCAAATACTCGGAAACTTGAGGAAAATCACAGAGAGAGGGAGAGAGCTTCGAATTTTCGTGAGTGTTGAATACAGCTCCTAGGGATTTATAGGTGTTGAAACCTTAAAAGGCATGAAACGGCCCTCATAGGCCGACCCATAAAAACCCTAGGGCGACGACTTGCTTTCCAAGCCAGGTGTTTCCTGATCCTTCCATAATATCCCAATTTGTCCTCCACGAAGTCAACAACGATTAACCATTGACCGGATCGGTCAAATCGGCTTGACCCAAACTCGTCAAAAATAAAAGCTCCTCAGCTCCCAGCAAAGTGAGCCTAAATCGCACCATCGGCTAGTGCTAGACACGCACGTGGGCTTGACAGATTCCTTTGATCCACTAAAGCCTTTGATTGCCTATCAAGGGAATAAGCTTATAAACCCACAAAGGTTTCTTCCTCCCGTCAATGTAATATGGGATACAAAGGAAATTACCAACTTGCAATTCATTTATATATATATATATATATATATATATATATATATATATATATATATATATATATATATATATATAAAGTTCCAACAATTACACGGAAATGACGTTGGGACAAGTCATCATTGTAAATACAATTATCAACAAAGTAATCACGTACCAATAAGTCGTGTGCAGTTGACGATCTCGATTGACGACTTCTCTTGAATCGAAACATTCGAACTTTTTTCATCGTGAATGTGTTGTACAATGTTGAAGAAAGTCGAGATGGATTCTCTATCGTCATCCAAATCGAATTTCTTAAAGAAATCCATAAATATGTTTTTTTTAAAGAGAGTGTAAAAGAGAATGGTTTGAATATATAAAGGTTGTAAAATTGTTGTGTTTACATAGGTAATGTTTATATATTAAAAAAATTAAACTATTAAAATTTTGACTGTTGAACGGTCCAAAATGAAGAAAGCGATCTCATTTGTCGTCTGAATCACAAGGCATCACGAGCACTTGGCCAGGGTATTGTGCACGATGGATTTATGTGACCACGAGCCGATCCGTTTTATATAATACCGAACGGTCAAACAATCAAAATGTGAGAAACAATTGGGTAAGCACAAAAGATGCAACAAGCCTCACATTCAACAACCGATTTTAGCCTTTGTTCGCAGTACCAACCACATTTAGATTAGTTCTACCGATAGTACTGCTAATGCAAACCTGCTGAAATGCAATTATTCCCCCTAACACACCGTTCTAGAGTTTATCAAAAGAAAAGAAAAGAAAATTATGAGAGAAAAAAAGAAAAAGGAAAAGAAAAAAAAATTTCTCCGAGTTGCAGAGAAGTAGAAGAAAAATTAATCATTTTACTATTTCCTTCCAAATCCTTCTAGATCAAAAGGGAAAATAGGAGTTCATTTTGTTACTTTTATTTTATTCTAATTTCCACCGAGTTTCTTTTACTTTCTTTCTCTCGTTATGTTCAACTCCTGAACTGGGTGTAAGTATAGTATGTGATTTTTAAATCGAGGTAGTAAACTCAAGCTGCCTCCGTTGTATTTACTATAAATGGCCAAACCTTCTCCAGGACCACCCGAGATTGATTCATCGCCAATTGCCCATGGCAATTACATCTCAGCCGTCTATCAAGCACCTGGATAGCCCGCCCTGTGTTCTGCATGACATGGCAATTAAATGCATTTAAAATCCGTATTTGAAGTCCGAAACACTCGCGCTTCAAGTAACACATCACACTCTCAACGTTCCGACTTGTCTCGAACCCAAATTCGCCCCATTTCTTATCGACACACCATTCGAACTCAAATTAGCTTACAACCTTGAATTCAGCCCCAATTTATGTAAGTTTTTGATGTTATGAACTCGTGTTTGATTCCGTCGAGTTATCGATTTCATGATCTCGTTACTCCTTTGCTTTGCTTGATTGTTTTGATACGTAGAAGTTGAATTATTTTATTTAGGGTTTGTTGTTGTTATCAGGAAATGATAAGTTTTTGTAATTAGTTGATTGCTCACCGTTCTTTGCATAATAATGTTTTTTTGTTCTGATACTTTATATTGTTTTTATTTGGTGAGTTTACGTACGTTCAAGCAGATCTTGTTATGAGTTGCTGAAATTTGAAGCTGTCTATTCGAACCAAACAAGTTTTTTTTTAAAAAAAAAAATGATATGTTATGCTGATAAGGTCTGTATGTTAGTGGTTTGTGTATGTTAAAAGAATTTCATTGCATTGTAGTTGGTAAGAAATGTGAAAAGTAATTTTTATGATATTATATGTGGCGTCTTACATTTCTGCTTGATTATATCATAAGTAGAAGGGACAGTACTCTGTTGATGGTTTGTTGTTATCAGGAGACAGAAGCTTGTTGTAATTTGCCGAAATGTGTTTTTGATATATTTTGATTCTATCAACACATGCTTGTTTTTTCTGACTTTAGACACAAGATTTCTATTTTAAAGTTTTGAGGATATTAAACGTGTTGGCATTGTTATCAAATTGGTTATAAACGTGGTGTTTAGGGATGTCTTGTGTTGTGAATTTGTTACTTGTGGTTGAATGCTGATGGTGAATGTTTACTTATCCAGTTATGGGCAAGGAAGAGGCGAACACTGAAGTTGGTAAGACGGTGGCTAATGGGACTAAACCAGAGAATGCTGTAAGCGAGAATACAAAAGATGAAGGGAAGGATAAAAGTAAAGAAGCGAATATCGACAAGGTAGATGCCAAAGAGGAAGAGATAAATGATAGCAAGGAAGAAACGGAGAGTGAGGCTATGGAAGTCGATGATTTAAAAGAGAAAGAAGATAAGGGATCAAAAAAACATGCAAGAAAGAAGGGTGGTGTAGAAAAAGGCAACAACAACAACAAGGCAAGTGAAGAGAAAAAGGAGGATCCCAAGACTCCTGTTGCCCGGGCAATTGACCGACCAGTACGGGAGCGGAAATCTGTAGAAAGGTTGGTTGCGGTCATCGAGAAGGATACTGCCAGGGAATTTCACATTGAAAAGGTAAAACTAAAAGCTTTCTTCAATTATTTATAAACTTTCTCGTTTATGCCTTCAATTGATCAAAGTAATTTCAATAAACTTCTATTTATTTATTTTTTATAATGGTATGCAGGGCCGTGGTACTGCATTGAAAGATATCCCTAATGGTAAAGTCTTGAAGCTATCTTTTGTATTTATTTAGTGCTGTTCATTCTTTTCTGCTTTAGGCATATGTTAATTTGGTTTCTAATATTTTAAAAATAATATATATGGCATTTGGTACGCTTCTCTGTATTTTACCTTATTGTAATTTATTTGGTAGATTAGTCAGCCTGTTGACAAGATAAAACTTTTCACAATATAGGATATTATCTGCATTTTCATTTACTTCTGGGGCTACTGACATTATCCATGGTTAAGTTAAACCCTTTTGCTTTTCTTTCTATGTTTGCTTAAATATCCATTGTGTTTGCTTCTTTTAGTTTTATTTATGATGGTTACCAATAGAAGAAGGTAGGATTGTATATTTGCAATCAGTTTTATTGTGTTTTCCACTGCCTATATATATATATGTTAGTTTGGTTTGCTATAAATCTACGAATCACTACTTACCTAGTTTCCAGTAAATCTTTGATGTTTGATGGCCATGACTTAGCAAATGCTATTTGTATTGGAAAAGTGTTGATGGGAATAAGTTTCGGTGTCTTTGTGAAGTGAATTATTTTTTGTTCTTGTCTAAGCCGTGTTCTACTTTTCAGTTGCTTTCAAGTTATCAAAGAAGAAGGTGTCAGATGATGCACTTAAGCTGCTCCACACTGTGTTATTTGGTAGGAGAGGAAAGGTAAACGAGCTTCGCTTGATGTATTTCTTCTGAAAGAAATAATCTTTCAAACAGAGAATACAGTTTTGTGTTTAAAGTTTGTCGCAGTAGGCATATTCCCCAATCCATGTTATGGTTGTTATTTTCTTTTACATTAGTTGAGCTGGTGGGGAATAAGGCAAATGACCAGTGCTGTATATTATCTGTTTGTTACTTACTTGAGTCTGTATGAGTTGCATCTTCCATCAAAGTTTCAACACTTTCTTTATATTCATCCTAAAAGTCTCCGAGTTGTGCTTTGCTAAATTCTACCAAGGACCGGTATATATATCCATTTATACCCTTCACTTGCTTTACACATAAAAGAAATATTTCAAGAGTTTCTGTTTTTGACTGAAGGACAAGTGTGTGTTTGTTTGACTTGCAGGCTTTGCTGGTTAAGAGTAACATATTGCGGTTTTCTGGTTTTGTGTGGAATGAAAATGAGGTAAACAGTTGGAAAATATTCATCTTCTTGACATAAATATTAAATAGATCTCTTCCTTACTCTCCTATCCTAGTTGAAAAGTGGTTTGTCTGCCTAGGCGATTTGATAAAGGAAAAGCCAGCCTAGAAGCATTATATATATATCAAATAAAGTTAGATTCATAAAAACCATTACTAATAAACAGCAAACGAAGTGTTATATAGTAAAGCAAAGTTCTGATGGCATGGCTAGGGCCAAGAAATGAAGGGTCTAAAAAAAATTAATTATTGCAGGAAAAGCAAAAAGCTAAAGTGCAAGAAAAGCTTGACAAGTATAACAAGGAGAAATTGTTTGAGTTTTGTGATCTGCTTGACATACCAATTGTCAAAACCAGTGCAAAAAAGGTTTGTTTCACTTTCGTTGGACATGATAAGTAACATGATGCTGTTTGTGGTGAAAGCAAAGCAAAGCAACATGATGTCTATTTTGCATGCACACAGGAAGATGTTGTTGTGAAGCTGATAGATTTTTTGTTGCTTCCTCATATCACAACTAGTGAGCTAGTTTCAGAGAAAGAACAGGTATTGATTTGATTGCATTTGAATATACCATATGATAATCTCTCTTTTTTTATGTATATATTCTTCTTCTGCAGCCAAGCAAAGGAAGCAAACGCAAGAAAAGTGCATCAACTTCTTCAAAGGTAGTTTCAGTTTGTCTTGTTGAGAAAAACATGAACCCCCAAAGTTGCCTAAACATAATAATAATAATAATAATAAAGGCAATGTTTTATGGTATATAGTTTTATAGTAGTTGTGGGTGGGTTTCCCTTTCTCTTATTGGTGTTTGTTATTGTAGAAGCAGAAAAGTGAAAGTGGAGAGGGTACTCCAGGCTCTGAAGAAGAGGAAGAGGAGGAGGAGGAGGAGGAGGAGCATGAAAAAGTGAATGGAGGCCCAGAGAAGTCTGAAAGTGAAGGTGAATCTGGGGAAGGGGGCAGTAAGAAGCGTAAACTTTTACGGGGGGTTTCAAAAAAACCTTCTTCTAAGAAGGATTCGGCTTCGATTAATAAATCAAAGAAAAAAGAAACCCAAACCCAAATCCAAAAGAAAGCATCCAAATCCAACACAGAGAAAACTGGTGCGGATGATATGATTTTGATTTCCTGAATGTTTATTTTTCTCCATGGTTTCAAACAAAAGAAGTTGATGAGCCTTTTTGTTTTTGGTGACTTATTCTATAAAAGGGAAAAAGGCTGTGACAGGGACAGAGACAAAGACAATGAAGGAGGAGAAACAAAAGCCTAGCAACGATGAACTCAAAGCCGCAGTATGTGAGATCCTTAAACAAGTCGATTTCAATACGGTGAGACTCCTGTACCTGTTTGTTACAAATACAAATTGCTATTTAATGTCATTTTCCACAATTAATTTTTTGATTTTGCAGGCAACCTTCACAGATATCCTCAAACTGCTTGGTAAGTTTTGTTTATAAATGGTAACTGCATGGTGCATATCATACGCTCCGGAAGTAAACCTAATCTTAATCTTAATCTTAATCTCCAGGTAAACGATTCAATACAGATCTCACACCAAGAAAGGCGACCATAAAGTTGATGATCCAAGATGAACTTACAAAACTAGCCGATGTAACAGACGACGACAATCAGCAAGAAGAAGGTGGAGCTGTTAAAACCCCAAAACAAGCATCCACTACAAAAGCATAAAGAGACCTACAACATAACATAACATAACATAACATAACATAACATGGTATTTCTTGCTTTCCATCCAATCCAATCCAACCCAATCCATCATCTAGATTCTAGTGTTTGTTTCATCTCTTCTTCTCTTGTAATTTATTGCTAGTTTAGCTCAACTCACATTGTAGAAATACAAGTAGAACCGCCACCATTACCATTGGTGTGGTGTTGGTGCTTTGCTTCATGTGTATGTACTATGTACATGAGTATAAATTGTAGGCATCTTTCGTTTTTATTTTATGGATCTTTTCATATGATGATGATGATGATGATGATAATGATGATTTTGGGGGGTCTTTATAAATATCAAAATATGGACTACGGTTGATGCTATTAAAAATTATAATCATGTTTGTTTATTCAATAATCAATAAAACGCCATGTAAATAATGAATACATGCATGCTAATGTTAGGCTGCTTACGAAAAGAAAACCATTCAACACGTTTGACCGTTTCCTTTATTTTGCCATTTTGGCTTTTATACATAAGACGTACGATCCCAATTGGTCTATTTTTATTGGCAAAAAAGTTTTTTTTAATAAAAAAAGGGAATTTGGTTGGTGGATTCTTGTTATAAATAAAGATGTTTAGATGGTTGTGGTGTGTTTTTAAAAGCTAAACTGCAGCCTTTGAATGTTTGACTAAATAAGCTAGGTAGGTTTGATTCTTGAAATCTCAAAGGGGAGTGCACTAAATAACGTTAGGTTGTTTTGTTGTTGGTTGCCTGGAGTGGACACTACTAGGGTACTTGGAATCTATCTAGACCAATGGCTGAAACTAAATGTTCTACTTATATCCTTCCAAACTCAGTGGACTACAGAGTACAGACACACTGCTCTGCTCCTATTCATATTCTAAGGAAAGATAAAGGAGAACATTGACTGACTTATTATTGCATCATCTTATAACACATTCACTAACAACCATTTGTGCCTTGTTGCCTCCTTCGTACTGAAGATGCTAAAATCTGGTAAGTCTTGGTCTGGCATGGGTTGACTATATACAGTGTTACACAGCACAGATAATTCAAAATTTTAAATTAATAGGATGTATCTATTGAATTGAAGGTACATTACATTTTATATAATTTTCCTTTTTTAAATTATGTGACTCACTTGATTTGTTTCATACATTTGTTCTATTGTGTTTTGTCTCCAACTATCTTTTTATCTGATTTTTACCTATCTCAACATAATCAAAATTATCATGCATAAATTTAGCTCGTACTAGATGTGCCACCGGACTGCAAAAGAGTGATTGAATTACTTGGTGATTTAAGGTTCACCGTTCGTTTTGTTCCATGCAGGGTCGGTCCAAAGATATAGTGAGTTTAGAGCAAAAAGAAAAAATGAGCCCCTAAAGTTGAAAATAAATAAACCGTTATAAAATTCACTATTAATCTTAAAAAGCAAAAATATGACAACAACATTACAAAAACAACCAATTTAAAGAAAAATATTTTTTATAGCATTTTTAGATAAATTGATTTTTTCATCTCTTTATATATACCATATATTCTAGGAATTTTAGGCCTTTTAGAGACATGAGTCCTAGACGACCGTCGGGGTTGCCCATCATCTAGACCGGACCTGATTCCATGATGGTTAATCGTTTAGTGGTGATACTATTATTTATTAAGATGATAGACACCAAAACATGCATCCTTATGTATGTAACCCCCCCCCCCCCCCCCCCCCTTTCATCGTCTATCATACCTTATGTATTATTCCTCAATTACGACAATCAACCTAATACTTTATTTCTCTATAAATTCATATTAATGTCGATATATATTAATATAGAACTTTTACAATCGTAACATAATAATCTAAAAGTATATTATAATATTATACATAATAAACAAAATTAACTGCTTTATATATATATATATATATATATATATATATATATATATATATATATATATATATATATATATCACCTGAGATTAAAAAATAAATAGAGATCTTGAGATTCAACATCAACTATATATTTTTTATTTGCCGCTTTAATGCTCCAGCATACCGACAGCAACGAAGTATACCTAATCATAAATGATTATATGACAGAAATATATAATCATATATGATTATACATGTTTATACCTATATGCCTAATCATAAATGATTATACATACATGTCTGTTCATAGATTGACTAATTATAAATGATTATGACGGTAACAGAAGAGGTGGTGGTAACAGAGGTGGCGGTGGTATAAGTATCGGACGCGATAGTGGTGGGGTCGGCTGATGTTAGAGGTGGTGGTGACGGTTATGGTGGTGGGGATGGTGGCAGAGGAGAAAGGAATGAGCGGTAAATGTCAAATATGTGGCTGATGTTGAATCTTAAGATCTCTATTTTATTTGTAATCTCAACGGAATCTACCTCTCTCTCTCTCTCTCTCTCTATATATATATATATATATATATATATATATATATATATATATATATATATATATATATATATATATATATATATATATATATATAGAGAGAGAGAGAGAGAGAGAGAGAGAGAGAGAAACATATATGAAAAAGAGTTTTTATTCATTTACATAATAAAGAAACATATATGAAAAAGAGTTTTTATTCATTTAGTTAAACGGACAGACACAAACAATGGTCTAGTATGTGATTTATGTTTATGAACAATCGGTTATGTTCTTTCGTTAATGATCATTATGTTCGATTATTATACATATATTTGGACAAAGGGTGATGAAACATCCCAAAAATATGATCCCAAAATTTTGCTTTCTCATGATAGATAAAATAGTATTTCAAATGTCAAACATTCATCACAACAAAACCAATACATTAAGTGTTATCAAAATCAGAGTGAATGTCAAATGCGGAACTCCAGTGGTGTGTGCGATGCAGTCAACTCGAACTCTTCCCCTTTGAACTGGAAGTACTTGAAACAAAACTAAAAACCGTAACCACAAAGCTTAGTGAATTTTCCTCAAACTAACACATACCATATATAAACTAAGCATATAATGGGCCCCGCCCGGTCATCGAGCTGAGCTCGGAAGTAAATCGGGCCCCACCCATCATGCATATAACATATATCAAATAAACACGTACACATGTAACATAGACACATAGCATACAAAAAGTCATCGGGCCCCGCCCAACATCGATCCTTAGCCCGGAAAGCATATAAACACGTACACACGCAAGAGTCACGAAGACAACTAGTATACTATCATAACATAAGCATAGGCCAACATTGGTGCCTTCGACCCGCAATACCCAGTGAGGAAAACTCACCTCGAAAATCATATTAAAACGAATGATCCCTGACTGTTGGTCTTACAACTCCCCGAGCTATCAATTACCAAATAAAAGTTGATTAATGTAACGATCGTTTCAGGTATCAATTACTTTTCATGATTTTAGGGTTTTAGACTGGAACTCGACGAGTTGGGGAGCTCCAACTCGTCGAGTAGAGATCATTTTGGACGCGAGATTTAGGATTTACTCGACGAGTTGGAAGGCCGAACTCGACGAGTAGACGCTGTGAAGGGAAACCCTAATTTTCTAGGGGTTGTACCCTATTTAAGGAACTTATGGCCCATTCGTGGCCTCTCTTATCATCTTTACTGTCCAGAGAGAAACCTTAGCTGTGCCTTAGTGTTTTCCTGAGTGTCTGCGAGCTTTAGAGAGTGAATCTTGTGCTCTTTGGAAGGAAACTCGAAGTTTGAAGGGATTGACGTGAGGAAGAGGCTTTAGATCCAACATCTACTCTGTGTTAGCATCCATTTGGAGGTAAAAAGTCTCTACCTTGACCTCTTGTTTCTTAGATCCCCTCCCATGGGAGTTTAGTGCATTTTAACCCATTTTGGGAGCCACTTTCAGAGTTGAGCATGATTTGAAGTAGTGACTTCAGATCTGGACACCTTAGGCCTCCTTGGGCCTAAAGATTCAAGCTTTGGCCTTTCTCCATGCCATAAACCCCTTCACAAGCTTAATTTTGAATGTTTTAGCCTCTTAAAGTTTTGCATGCACGTAAAGTTGGCAACTTTACGTGGTAACTGCATCCTAGGGGGCTAGATCTGTAGTTTGGAGCCTTGGATTCAATTGGAAAAGGATGAACATGAAAAGGGCTAAAGGAATTTGATGAGTTGCTTAGCCAACTCGAAAAGTTGGGTAGGGTTTACCCATTTTCGGGATTCTGAGTGATCTCGGTGGGCTGATTAGAGTTTTTGGTCTACTCGAGTTTTCGGCCTCCTGGACACTAAAGAACTCGATGAGTTACTCAGGTAAGTCGATGATTTGAATTGAGATTTCGGTTTTATGGACTCTGAAGGAACTCAATGAGTTGCTAGATGCACTCGACGAGTTGGGGTCAACATGGACCGTTGACGTTGACTGTTGGCTTGGACTTTGACCAGGGTTGACCAAATTGGATTTGAAGGTATTGTTGGTATCACACGATTTTGACAAAGCTAGTCACATGATGGTTGTAGGCAGTTGAGTGGGAGTTGTGCGTTGGGACCTATCATATCTTATCAGTTCAACATTCTTGAGAGGTGAGTCTCCTCACCATACCAATGGGTCGAAGGCACCAAGGCCGACCCATTTTATGATATGTGGTACACTAGTTGATGCAGTTGATGGATTTTGAGCATTCTAACACTCCTATGGTGTTCATGCAATCCTAGAAACTTTGGATCTATGTTTTCTCTAAGATACATGCAAATAATAATTTTCCAATGTTTACTTCCTAATTAGCATGTTATGGGGTACTTGAATCATAAAACACTAGTAGAATTGTAACACCCGGTTTTGAAAGTGTTCAATTATGTCTTCGAAGGCCAAGGGTATAAGCAAAAGTTGAAGATTGGGTCTTTTATGGGTCTTGGGTCTTACTCGGAAGGTTATAGGGCTTGGGTGTGGATCTGGGAGCGTAGGGTTTCTCATCACCTTTTTGTGGATATGAAGTTCGTAGGAAACAAACTTAGAATAAAGATGTTATAGTAATTTGAGGGTATTTGCATTATTGGTCCTTAATAGAGAAAAGTGGCAAGGAAGGTGGCCAACATGAGTATGCCCAACGTAAAGGGAATGAGGATTCGTGGGTGTTGGAGACGTACGCCCGACGTACGAGAAGTACGCACAGAGTCTTTAAACCCTAATTTTTAAGGTGTGCCACTATATAAAGAACATTATACCCTCGAGGGTTAGCCTCCTTCTCACCCTTAGACAATTTTGACGAAACCGTAATCCTCTTTGAGAGTTCTTGGAGCTTGGAAGGCTTGGTGAAGGGTATTTTGGTGATTTGGATC